CAGATCTGACGACGCTGATTGGCTGAAATTATGTTTCGGCGACATAGTTTACAGATAGCAACAGTCAGCTTGTTGGCTGCTGCTGCTCTGGCTGAGGGCTCCTTTCTTACCGCCCGGACGAGAGAGGGGAAGCATGTGACTTATCAGTAACTTTAGACATCGTAAAACAATTTTAACCTTGTTCTTTAAAAATAAAAAATAAATAAATATGTTTTTTTTTAAATATATATTTTTTTTAATGACAATCAAACATGTGGGGAGAGGGGGGGCGGCACCCCTATGGGCCGGCCGCCACTGATCACGATTCATACCAATGGGTTGCATCCTCAATTTTCTATATTACTGCACATGACTTCTTTTTCATCAATGAATACATGCAGTAAATACATATGAACTCCCTTTTTATTGTTTAGAAAGTGCTTCAGAAATCCACAACATAAATGTCTTGACATTAATTTATAAACCAAAATCAATCAATTGCATAGCTCTAGCATCCCTATACAGTATCTGTGTGTGAAATTGTTCCATCCTCAAAAACAAAACACTAATGCTTCTGCAGTCTAGCTGCAGCTTCTAGCAACGGTCTTCTGTTAAAAAAAGGACACTGAATGTCCACTGAAGCTGCTCCGTGTTTGGAGTCGCTGTGCCGCTGTCACGTCTGTTCCCTGATCTCTGCGTCACCGACCGATTTGATATTAAAGTGACAGAAAAAAAACGTTATTGTAAAGCTGCGGCCGTAAAATCAGGAAGCAACGTTACTACGCTATAATCCATTATGTTCTGTCACTGCATCGATGCAGAATCGTCCACGTCCGCATCGCAATGCATCGTAGAAACGATTCATTTCAACACCCCTCCTAACTAATCAGATTCGGCTACAAAAATACGTCATCACTGCACCACTCTATAACATGCCAAAAGTCAATAGCTGTCCAATAAAGAAAAGCAAGCAGAAAACATTTTAACTAGAAGTTGTATATCTTTGATGACAAAGCAATACCTGATCACATTATGTTCATAGCTGTTAACAATTAAGCTGATCGCCAGCGGGACAAAAATGATATTATATAATCACCAGAAGACCAGAGGAATGCCTAGTATGGAAGAAATTCCTCCCAGGAGCCCAAGAGGTCACCCAGTGTGGGATGACTGAGAGACAAAAAACATCATTAAATGCAGGAATTGTGGGAAAATATGAGCGTGGCTAATAAATCACACAAACAATAGACTGCAACAGTTTCTCATTAAGACAAGAGTGTTTTTTAAGAAAGTGTATTTAAGGTAATGTTTACAGTTGATTTAGCTCATGAGTCAAAGCTACAATGAGGTGAAACTGGAGAATGGATTTCTGGATTTTCTTTTTTTCTCAGACTTTTGACATCATATTAGGAAATCCATGCTCATTAGTAGCAGATATATTACAACCTATTGGGGGCAACATTCCTGCCTTTAATATCGGCTGCCACCCAAACTTCTAGATCTCATTAGAGAAGAATTTATGAATTGACAGGTCAGAGTGGGGTAATATGTGGGGAGTGAAAAGACCAGTGTGATACATTAATAACGTGTCAGCTTAAAGAGGTGCTCAGCTGAATGCTCCCCTGTTGTGGCTTAAGTATTTTAGATGAGCTTTTGCCATGCTAGCGGAATGATCTTTTTAACCCTAACCCTTTTTTCCACAAATCTATACCAATTTGATTGATGAATGCATTCAAATACATCCATTTTCAAACTATCCACTAGGTTAGTGTGTCCCTTTGCTTTTGTTAATGACCAAATACTTTAATCTACTCTCATTCCCTTTAGTCTCACTTGTCCATGTGTATTCTGCATTCTAACATGCACAACTGATCAGTTCCCCCCCCCTGTGACAGAACACAGTCAACGTGAGGTAGACACTGTCATTGTTAGCATTGCTCTAGACTCCCTTTGCTGTGTCTAAGTTCGCATTGTTTGAGTGTGTAACGCTGGACACTTCTCACACTCAACTACCGCCACCTTGGCTACGTAACAGAATTTGCTTGCCCAACTGATATTGCAGTTGTTTGGGTAAACACAGCTAACTAGCTAACCGTGGCGATTGCCACTTCTGGTTAGGAATCACAGAAGCCATGAATAGACAACATGGCTGTGTACTATGAAAAGGAATACATTGAATAAAAACAGAAGTTAGTCTTCATGTCTCTATTGCTATTTTCTTTAAATGATTACAAAATCCTATATCATATTCGGATCTTCTGGAAATTACGCTTTGCACATTTTTGAATGACACCTGTGGTTAAAGTGGCAGTTTAATTCCAAAGCGATTATGGCTTAACTTATCCCTTCTGCTGCTTCTTTTTCCCTCTGCTGCATCTGCTCTCCTGAGTTATTATCCTTATTTCAAAATAAATAAGGCTAAAACTAGTATTTACTCCATAGTGTCCCCATGAAGTGAGTCAGGCCGGGTGTCGCGGTGTCACAGTGTGGTTTGTGGCCGTTTTAAACCATGTGACAGTATGAATAAAGCATGATGCGGCGGGCAGCAGGGTGGGCAGGGACTGACAAGGGAACAAGCTCACCCAGTGTTTTGGTGACGGCAGACAAGTCAAACCCCTTAAAGTTTAATGGGGGCCGCGCCGCAGAGAGGAGTGTATAAGCGTGTGTGTGTGTGTGTGGATCCTGTGGTTTGACTGAGGCTGGAAGCTGCCATACACAGGCCTTTAAACAGTGGGACGTAATCGTGATGCTAATCGAGTCAACAGCCTACCTCGTGTGTGATGGATCAGGGTCACACTGAACTAGTGGGTAGGGAATAGGACCGATGAGCCTTTTTCTTTGTGGCCAATGAGAGTTGTGGTTGAATCCCCGTGCTTTGGCTGCTGACTCCCAGAATCCTGTGGTTTCATGCTCCGTGTTCCCCTTTGCTTCTTAACCATCTCAATAGACCTCCAGACGTCCCACATTCTTCCCTCTGTGGCTGCTTACAATGTCTCCTTCTTTTCTTGTTTATGCTGGTGTTTATTTTCTTCTATTTGTCCTGTTATTTGATCGTCTTTTCCTCCAGGCATTAGGCTGATCTGAAGCCATCACTGATCTGAAACTCCACCATGTTTTGATTTGATAAAGGTTTATCTACTTTGCTGCTAAACGTCAACCCATGATGCTGATTTTGTTTAGTCTATTACCTCCAGCTTTACAGATTCAAGTATTTGTTACAAGCCAAAAAAGCAATACAGATGAATGCTTCAGCCACAACACTATTGTTGACAATGAGCACTGTGGACACTCGGCTCTTCAGGATGAGTTTGGATTATCAGTATCACCAGTGTGCTTATTAAAAGAATGTCCTAAAACGTATATTAAAACAACCAATTTGCTGCATTGAATGTTTTTAGATGATGTAATTCCAGATAGATAATGTTTGTTTTAATCAATTTAACAAGGACATTAAAAAAAAAAAAAGGGATATTCAAATGCTAAATGGTCATACTAAACATATCCAACTTTCACTGCCTTGGATTTATTGTAACATTTGAACAAAACAAAAATAACTCTGACGTTAATCACATCTTATAATAGATAGCCTATATAAGACTGTTCGACTGCAATGGGCTCTTGTTGAAACGCTCAAGATAACAGTTGTTATATTTAGCTGACAATGTACCTGTCTGCATCCTGATCAGCAAACAATGGCAGTCCTCTCTGAGAAGAAGTCGAATGTATTTGACAGTACCGTCAAATCTCTCCAGGATAAACCGGTCATGAAAGGTTGTCTTAGAAAGTGTTAGAAACTCAGTGTTTTCCCTTAAGACATACGTTTAAGTTGCCTAAACTTAAACACATCTTCATCAAAAAGAGACAGATCTAAAGATGAAGTCAAATGGCTTTTTGAAGACTCAAACAATGTTACCTGCTTTGCCGGATCAGAAATCACAAAAGCTCCAGCTCCTGTGCTCTTTCACCAATGACAATGCAATACAAGGTCGTCGTGGACAAGGTACTCTTTACTAAAGTGAAGATAGAAAAACCACAGTGTAGAGAATACTCTGTCGGGAGGAAAAGTCCTGCATTAAAAGGTTTACTTAAGCAAAAGTTTTCAAATATTAGCATCAGTTTGTACTTTAAGCACATTTAGAAAAAGTAAAAGTACTCAATATGCAGACTGTCTCATTTCACTGTAAAACATACTGTATATACTGTAGCTGGTAAAGGTGAATCTTTTTTTGAAACAATATAGGGTTACCTTAATATTTAGATTCTTGGATTAGGTTACTGATAACAAAAACCTGTTACCAATAATTGTTACATTTTTTAAGTAACCCTCCAAACCTTGATCATGTATGAGTGTGTTGTTATCTTCTGTGATATGTTTGATATTTTAAATCATGGTAGTGAATCAGAGCAAAGTGTATAAAAGTGTTGAGTGTTCCATGTGTATGTGTTCGAGTGTGGTTGTGTGTATGTGTCTCAAGCCCCATTGCCCATAAGGGATGGTCGAGTCCCGTCTATCAAACCCAGTGTGTCAGGGAGCAAATTGGAAATGCCAATTTCACTTTACACTGCCCCGCATCTTATCTCCCCCTCGCCCTCATCCCAGCACTTAGCTCATGCGTAAATGAATACGGTCCTCTCACACGTCTACCTCCGTCTGATTTCACTCTGCTCCCACCTCTCTGACCACTTCTCCTCCTCATCCTCCCCTTCTTCTTCTTCTTCTTCTTCTTCATCTTCTTCTCCCCCTCCATCCCACCTCATCTCCTCACTTCCCATTCCTGTCTACATTCTCCCATGCCCATTCAGCTGTAACCCATCTGTTTTTTTCTCTGTGTGTATTTATGAAATATGTCTGTTTTTTTGGTGAATATGGATTTATGCATGCTCGGTCTGTATCGCCGCCTGCAATGAACAAGCCGGGGAGAATCACTATGCAAATGAAACGATATCTCATATTCTAGAATTTGCATTGAATCCATTATAAATCAGCAATTTCTCACACTGGTCTTCTCTGTCTGTCTCAGTATGACTACGAGGGCGGGGACATCGGTGACCTCCCCGTCAACCTCTCCGTGGTGTGGAATGGGAACTTCGTCATTGACAACCCCTCCAACATTCAAGGTACCACTTTTTTTTTTATCTCCGTTTTTTTACCAAGCTGGAGCTTTGTTGGTTGTCCAAAAAAAGGTTTAATCGACACCGCTTGTTTATCCGTCTGTAATGATTTTCTGTGAAGCAAAAATGCCGTGTCCACTTTTTCTGCAATTTCATTTTTGACAGCCATCTGGGAGAAAAGTGAAAGTGTACCATCCGTATTCTTGTCTCAGGAATAAAAAAAAGACAGAGGGAGTGATTGATGGACGGAGGGGATAACAAACAAACATCCAACGGAGAAATTAACAGGGACGGATGTAAGAGGGGAAGATAAACAAATGGCAAAACCAATAGGCAGAAGGGAAAATGGATGGAGGGGAAGAGCGATGGGTGGATGACAGGTTGATAAATGTGGCGTGTAATGGTGGGGACTAGATGAGAATAAAGGGATTGACAAAGAAAAACAGAAAGCGACATGGAGGGATGGCATTTATTAGTTTTAATCGCTATCTGTGCATGAAATGGAAAACAATTACCAATTCTAAATTCTTTATCAAGTGTAACATATGGAGGCTGTGTATGGAGGCTAATAGTTTTAGACGTCCCATTACGCAAGTGAATGTAAGTCTTGCTCTCAAGTATTTTGCTTGCCTATAGTAGATTAACTAACATTGTCCAATGTATTCTTTCTCTATTATTCACCATAAGTTTCACTCTTTAGATCAGACATGTTCACACTTTTATATCACAGCTTCTGTGTTCTATCTGACATCATTGTAATACATGTCAAACGTGCAGTTATTTTTGCAGATTGCTTGGATTTATAGTTACTAATCAGTCACAACCTAATTCTCCTGCCTGTGTTATTTTGTTTATAATGTGCTTTTTAATTTTTGATGTGTTGAAAGATGGGGATTAAATGTCATGAGCACATGCTGAGAAATACTACATTTGCCACAACACAATGAATAATCACATTTCTGTGCAATCAATGGATCCTGTCATCTTAAAAAATTGATTTGATGCCTTTTCCTAATGTGACTGACTAATACCAGCCTATATCTGATGACACAATCCAATTAGTACCATCATTGCCATTAACTTTTTAAGTTGTAACATTGCATAATGGAGCATTTTAGCCAAAACACATGTGTAAACTGAGTGTGTATCTACTATTTACTACTGTTAATACTTCTATTATTGGTAAAATTACAATTGTGCAGTTGCTTGCTGAATGAAATCAAGGTTAGTTTAGGTTGTTTCAGTCAAAATGGTCGACTTTAATGATGCCATGGACTTTCAGATGGTCCCATCATAAGGTCAATATATTTTAACTTTCGTTATTGATTATATGTCAAACAACAATCAGATTAGAGAAAGTTCTGATTTACCACTGATCAATGTTTAATAATGGCTTTAAATAAATCACAACGGGATCTTAGAAATATTTTCAAATGACAATAAATGTACTTAAAGTCGACCTATCATGCTATATTTGAAACATATATTGTAGGGTCATACCTATATAAAGTATATAAATATAGTTTTTTTTCAAAATACCAAACGGATCCTGCATTTAGCCATGCCTCATTTCGCTCTATTTGCTCTTTCCAGCCCTGTTTTTGCAGGGGGCTGATTCTGTGAGCTGCAGCTGACCACGCCCCCCTGCAGGAGAGGGGAGTTGCCAGTTACTTTGGCATTAGGGCAGGGATATCTAGATACTTTCCAAGGTTTGACATAATGAATTGTGCTACTTCTAAAGCAAGCAACGATGTTTTCAAATCTGTAATCAAAAAGCTCCTCAAAAACGCTATCGAAGCAGTTCCTGCCGTTGCTACGTTAGTTCAAACAGTAACAACGGACTATTTTTCTTAGCGGATGCATGTCAATTTAAATCAATACATACAACTATTTTTTAACTCAATAAAATAATTTTCTAAATTCATAAAAGCATTTCAATTAATATTGGGAGTCATGTCGTTACTTTGTTGAGAATGTGGCTATGTAATAAGCGGGATAATAACACCTTCATGCCGATCTAGATCCCTCCGCTTCGCGTCGGGCTCCTGATCAGCCTGTCGGTGTTCTTTTCCCCATAATGACCGCGTCGCTGCACATTATCCCTTACATATGATTATATAGAGTCATTATTCATTTGTTTTAAAGCAGGATGCGCAAAAGCTTGCCTCGGGGAGGGAGAAAAAGAGCGGAGAATAAACAGAAGGGCAACCATGGCAACCATGCAAGGGAAGTCTTCTTTGCTGCTTTTGTGGCCGACTACAGCGCCACTTACAGGCCTGGCATATGTACTACAGCATCTCCAGCGCTTTCGATCGGCGATGGTCGGCCGTGGCCCAACCTCTCATTCCCCTGATAGGTGGAGAAGTGACCAATAGCCGTAGCACCACTTTACTGACTTCAGGACAGTGTTCAAATCTCAAAGAGAGGGTTGTGTTTTCTGATACTTGGTGAGTTCCCTGACACAACGGGGACACATATTCATGTATAAAAGACGTACAAGAGTGCATTTTGCATGATAGGTCCCCTTTAATGTCTCTATAAAGCATTGGTACCATTGGTTGCCATGGCATTTTGTTCAGACATACATGTTCACCAGAGGATGAATCTTACTGACAATGGTCCCATTGTCAAGGGCTTTTATTTTTGCAAAAATAAAATACATGTACACTGCAGACTATTTTACATCTCCAAGATCAGTAGTGTGAAGCAATAACAATAGAAAAAGCAGGATCTTAGCTATCTTTGAATAAAACTCATATCAGAGATGTTGACATCTGCCGAGGCTCCACAGTGAGGTTTTCATGCTGAGTTATCCAGCTAACTCCTGAAACACACCCCAGGGATGTGTGCGACAGCAAAGAGAGCTTGGGAGTGTGAAATCCAATGATCTCAGTGTGTGTTCCTGTTATTGGGACTTTGGGTAAGCACAGCAGACCTCTCTCCTCGACTTTCTTGGTGGCATGCATAGAAGGCATGCAGCACTGTAAGCCAGTGGTGTACTCCTCATAACAAGACAAAGACAGAATAAACTGAAACAGCTGGCGAGGTTATGGATGAGTAATTTGTTTGAATCAACAATGCTTTCAACCCCCCATAGATATATTCAAGTTATTGTGCTAAAGCCTCATAGAATACCTATTGTAAAACTCTGCATTATCATAAAGGCCTTCTCCTCCTTTTTCCTCTCCATCCTCTATTAATCCCTCTCAGCTCCGTCCCCGTCTTTTTCTCTTATTATCGTATAAGAGCGTATTATCCGTCTGAGGCAGAGGCTGGCCCGGCTTTGCCCTGGTGTAAAGTGGAGATGTTAATGTTAATTAAATCATTCATTTGGTTCAGATTAATTAGCGCCGTGCTACTTTTAAGCCGAGCCGTGGCTAATCAGATTACGCCCGAGCGGAGGGCCGAGGCGGGCAGATGGATACGGAAGAAGCTCGCTTTGAAGTCCGGCCGCCGTCTGTCTGCAGAGGAGGAGGAGAACCCTTTCTCTTTCTGTTTTTCCACTTCAGTTCAATTTAAATCTGTTTAACTGTGACTGCAAACACACCTTCGGCCTTCTTATCAACTGAGGTAATTAAAATAGAGATTAACAGATCAGAAAAAAAAAGCTTAGAATATCTATCCATTTACCTTGACTTTCTCACTCTTTCCTGTCTTGCTCTCCTTCTTTTGAATTTTGTAGGAATCAGAAATCTTTTATTAATCCCACAGCGGTGAAATCATTGTTTAAAGGGGCCCTATTATGCTCACTTTCAGGTTCAAAGTTGTATATTGTGCCGCTACTGTGACATGTCTCCATGCTATAATGATCAAAAAGCTCTTTATTTTTCTCATATATTCTGTGCTGCAGCACCTCTTTTCACCCTCTGTCTGAAACCAGAGCCCAGTCTGCTCTATTGTGATTGGTCAACCGCTTGATGACCTGCCACTTAGTAAATCACGTACAGTGTGATAGCCAATAAAATAAGATAAGCGTGTTAGCCAATAAAAGGACGAGTGTTACATAATGATGTTACTTAAGTAAACAAAGTAGTTTATGGGAGAGAAACTCCCTCTGGAGGGAACACAGGGATTTTAGAATTTGCAGACCATTTAAATGCACAAAAACAACCTAGAGAACACACTACAGGGGTAGTGCAGATAAAAAGACAAATACAATAAATAGGATAAAGCTAATAAATAATTCTAGCACAAGTTCATAAAATCCAATAAGTACACATACAAGAAGGAATTTAAATTGGTAGCAGTATTATGAAATACATAAACACATAAATTGCTTGTTTCTCTCCTCAAATAGTTTCTGTTTCCTCTCATTGTCTGGGCCTCGCGGGGCCTCACCATCTTTACATTCATAACTATTTGTGTTGCTGTTTTGTTAACAAGCATAGCTCAAATGTATCTCCCCCCCTCCCCCGCCCGCCTTTCATCTCTCTCTCGTCTCAGGTGTTTAATTATTTATTTATTTATTACTTTTAATGACTTTTTCCACTCTGCAGAGTTAAGGGAATGCTTTTATTTTTCTTCGACATAACAGATTATCAATTCCCTACTGGCGTTAGAAGACATTACCTGTTGAATTAATTTATTTAATATCCCTCTAGGTTGCTTGTTCCTTTTTTACTCCTACTTATCCATGGCAACAGATATTTCATTTCTCATCGTCACAGCTTGGTAGTGGTAATATATTTCTTCACTGTAGGTATTTTAACATTCATTTATGCAGTCCCCTCTCAGCTTCAAGACACACATTCTTGATTACTTTTTGTCATGCCAGCCTTGCTTTTAATTCAAATTAACAACTTACATAACTTTCTGTTTACCAGAATAATATTTTTCAAGCACTATACGGAAGGTTACACACAATAGAGCAACCCTAATGCATGTTTATATACAACACTAAGCAAAACAATGTACTCTAGCTTGGTGCAGAAAATAAAGTGAAAATAATTGTCTTTGAAAAGTTAAAACATAGGCACAGCTGACTTGTTAAAGCTTAACTTAACCGATCAGAGTAGACTGGGCTCTGGTTTCAGACAGAGGGTGAAAAGGCAGTATTAGAACATTAAAGCATGTAAACATGTCATAGTATAAGCACATAATACAATAATGAACCTTAAAGGCCCTGACACACCAAACTGACACCAAATAACACGTCCGGACCTATGGTCCAGACGGACCCGACTGTTGTGTCTCCTCACGTCTCCTGCGTCTTGGCCAAAAAGTCGCACTGGAACACACCGCAAAGACTTCAGGTGAAGGCCAAGTAGCACGTACGTACGCACTGCGCATGCGTGAGTGGCAATAACTCTCCTTACCAGCAGGCGGTGGTAGTGTGTATTCGTCATTCAAAGGAGGTAACCGGAAGACAGAGTGCGTGATACATACAAACAACAAATAGCTACATGCTACAGCTCGAGCCAAGCAGCACAGGGATGAACTATAATAATATAATATGTTAACAGTATTGGTGCAGTGCCTTTTCAGTGGGGCAAGATAAAGCAAATATGTGTGCCTAATGCCTATCCTGCTATTTGTGTTTATTCTTCTAATCACAAAGCGTTAAGAACAAAAAAAATGTGCCTACATAAACAGTTGCAGCCCTAGCATTATTATTGGTTTAACTACTAACATATATTTTTAAAACATTTTAAAATGACCATCTTGAACATCTACAACATTAAAATACAGCGCTAACAAAATAAATCTATTATTATTATATATAATAGTTTGTTGTGCATGTAAATGGTCAGTAAAGGCTAAAATCCCAAAGTTCCCTCCAGATGGAGTTTCTCTCCCACACTGTCCCCCCTTCCTGAAATGCCTCCATGGGACTCCTTTCTTTACTTCTGTAAGATAATGACATCACCATGTACACTTGCTCTTTCTGGGCTCTGGTTTCAGACAGAGGGTGAACAGAGGTGCTGCAGGCAGTATGAGAAGACAGTAACAAAGTACATTTACTTAAGTAGCCTACTGTACTGCTCCACTCCCATTCAGGCAAATAGTGTTTCGCTAAGCTGAACAGCCAATCAGAGTGACGTATTTTGCAGACAGCCTCGGCCGAAAAGACAAGACGGTGCGGGACACACCAATCTGAGTAGTGCGACAGAACGCTCATCGACGGCCCAAATTGGCTTGGTGTGTCAGGGCCTTAAAATGAGCATAATAGGGCGCCTATAAAATCGCAACAAATCAATTTCTATAATAATGGCTAAGACTGGCAAAGAAAAAAGAAACAAAAGTTAAAACATGATACAGCTTTTGCACTGGAAATCTGGAAAACGGGTCAACATGTAGCCTATCAATTATGTGCAATTATAGCAGCTTAACATTTCATTTAAGTCTCAAAGAGTGCAAGCTACAGGGTAGCCACGGCTCCCCTCTGTCCTTGCAGTGCACACACAAAGAAAAAGAAAAACCCCACAATTAACGAGGTGTAAACCCATGAGGAGAGGATCCCTCCCCAAGGACAGCATACATTGCAATATATGTTGTGTGTATGGTTGAAAAAGATCATCCAATTCAAACATAGAAATGACAGATTAAAGAAATTACAATTTAGCAAGGTAATGTGCACTGGGAATATGTGCTGTTCCTTCAGTGAATGAGGAATGTTTGCACAACTCCAATATCTAATGTCTCTCTTCTTCTTCCTCCATTGCAGCCCACCTGTACAAGTGCAGAGCGCTGCGGGACAGCTGTGGTATGTGCCTGAAAGCCGACCCCAGGTTTGAATGCGGTTGGTGTGTCCAGGACAGGAAGTGCTCCCTCAGGCAGGAGTGTAACGGCGGAGGAAACTCCCACCTCCCTCTGCAGCTGGCTGAAGGGGGAGGGTGGATGCATGCCGCCTCTGGGAACAGCCGCTGCACCCACCCCAAGATCACTAAGGTGTGTGTGTGTGTGTGTGTGTGTGTGTGTGTGTGTGTGTGTGTGTGTGTGTGGTGTGTGTGTGTGTGTGTGTGTGTGTGTGTGTGTGTGTGTGTGTGTGTGTGTGTGTGTGTGTGTGTGTGTGTGTGTGTGTGTGTGTGTGTGTGTGTGTGTGTGTAAGTGTGTGTATTTGCGCACTTTTAGTGATTATGTTTCTGCCTAATGAGGAATGGTTGCCAGGTAGATGGAGAGAGAGTGTTGGCTACCTTTCAGACAAAACACAACATGTTCCAAATCACAGAAGAGTGGAACTTTGTAAATATGATCACATGACACAGGCAGCACTTTTAATGAGCCAGTGCTCAGAACATGCAGAACATCAGCAGTTGATGGAAACCAGAATGGGCTATATTATATCAGCATAATAAAACCTATGGCCAGTGAAGTTGCTAATAAACCTATAAGCCTAATCATTGTTGTGTTGGCCAAGAGGACATATTGAGCTCATTTTCATCTTCATATTTTTATTTTGTGCTATACCGTGACATGTCTCCATGCTTTAATGTTCACAAATCTCTTTATTTTTCTCATACTGCCCTAAGCTGCAGCACCTATTTTCACCCTCTGTCTGAAACCAGAGCCCAGTCTGCTCTGATTGGTTAGCTGGTCGACTCTCTTATTATTGGTTAACCGCTTAGAGATGGAGCGAAAGTCAATAATAATTTAGTTTAGTTTAGTTTATTTATTTTTTTCGAGCGTGTAAAACCAAAGAAAATACAAATGAAACAAAAGATGATACAGACATGACACAGTACTATACAAATGAATGCAATAACAAAACTAAATATTGAATTAATAATTGAATAATCTGTAGTATCATTGTCTGATAACAATAAATATAATATATTAATAATAATAATGCATTTTATTTATGGGTGCCTTTCAAAGCTCTCAAGGACACCTTACAGAGCATAATTAAAAACAAGCAACAAAGAAGATCACACAGTAATACAAGACTTAAAAACAAAGATAAAACAACAATCAGTTTAGAAAAATTATTAAGATATTGAATATGCCAGTTTAAAAAGGTGTGTTTTCAGGCTGGATTTGAAGGTTGAGAGTGAGTCCATATTGCGGATGTCTTGTGGGAGAGAGTTCCAGAGACGGGGGGCAGAGTGGCTGAAGGCTCTTGACCCCATGGTGGTCAGGCGGGCAGAAGGTACAGTGAGCTGGAAGGCAGAGGAGGATCGGAGGGCACGAGAGCGAGTGTAGGTGTGAAGGAGTTCAGAGAGATATGGAGGTGCAAGAGTGTGAAGGGCCTTGAAGGTGAGGAGCAACACTTTAAAGTCTATGCAGTATTTAACGAGGAGCCAATGGAGTTGTTGGAGAACCGGAGTGATATGATTAATGGAAGGAGTTCTGGTAATGATACGGGCGGCTGAGTTTTGGACCAGTTGAAGCAAGAGTGTTATACGTAGTGGTGACTCTATGTAGCAGCTCTGTTGAGATTGGTCAATGTTGAAACCAAAAAGACATGCCAAATTCTGCAAATATTTCATATGTTCTCCTATTTTAGCGTAGATCTATTTGTGAATAAGCAAAAGCAAGTGTATTACTTACTGTTTAATTTAGATTCTATGTGGTAAACATGTATTATACCGCTCTGCAATTTGTGTTCTTTGCTATGGCTTCATATCTGTTTAGATTTTACTGACTTTTATTATTGTAACAAACCAACAAAGCTACAAACAAATATGAAGCAATTATACAATGTAGATATTTGAAACCTTCTTTAGGATTGTGTTTCTCTATAGTATCACTATTGGAAAGAAAAATGAACATTCCCATTTGGCCAAAACCCCAAGAGACTCTTAAAATCAAACTCTCTTTAATGTTCCAGTCCTCAGATATGAAAAACAGAAGCAGCAAGGCTCCTTTGAGCGCCCCACCATAATCTCGTCAACTGGTGAAGTCACCTGTGGAGATCCAAAGGCTGGTAGACCTTGATAGGCCGTTGCGTCAGCTCCCCCTCCCGAAGCCCCCGTGGTCACGAAATCCCTACGTGTCCTGAACAAGCTGCTCCATTTTAATGTGCCGCTATTAAAACAGGACCTTGTGCCTGCCCTTGGCACAGAAATTGTATTATTACTCAATGTTACATCAAACTGGTACTCCAGAGACAGGCACGCACTGGAGACGCATGTTTGCTTAGAGTCTTTTTCAAGCGGTCTTTTAGGTAGCTTCATCTGTGTATGTCACTGTCACTTGATTTCAAACATTTTTCAGATATCCATTCATGTTATTTTGCTTTACTTTTTTAGTTGGTGATGTTTCATGCTGCATTTTCTTTGTATTGACTTTCAGTGGGTATTATTCAAAGAAGTAGCCTTTATCATATCTAAATAATACTGTCCAAAAATGTTTTTCTGAAGATTAATGATATAGTATGTGTCATTTAAGAAAAGTACCCACTTGGTTTTATCTATTGTCATTGATTACAAGAGCAACACGTCTCATTAAATACTCTTAATTATGTTTTACAAATATCAGCTTAATATCACGAGAAAGTACACTTTTTCATGAATATATTCTAGCATTTTTTAAGTCAAATCATTAATATAATGCCATGCCATTTCCTAATAGTGTTGGTTTATGGTATACAAGTGTTTACTGTAAGTTTCTTACTCTTGACCTCACAGCAGGTTATGCCAATGACAACAAGTTATGTTAAAACCTTTGCTACTATAAGTTGTTTTGGATAAAAGACTCCCCTATTGTGTGAGAGGATAACAAAATCCACATTTAGGAACAAAGCAGTGTGTTTTGCAAGACTCTGACTGTGTTATTGTAAGAACATAAGGACATGGGAAGGAGAAGGGGGTAAAAGAGTCATGTGTTTTCATATCAAGGTAATAGTACACGTAGAGTGGGACCGGGAGTAATACATTGAAATCCATCTGGATATAAAAGCAGACGCCTCTATTCTTTTTATTCATGGGTAAATTCTGCCTTGCTTAGTCTATATGACCTTCCAGGGGGTTTTCATTTATCAGGTTATAATGCTTTATTCACATATGTTGACTTAATTAAAACGATTCAATTAAAAGGTAAATCAGTTATGTTAACCCCCCCTTTGCTAATTATGTAATATGATGTGATAATAATAGTTCTCCATCAGATCTGATCATCTTTTGGACATATACCACCAATTGCTATTAAGGTATATTTGTATCTGTGGTATGAATTATTATAATGTTTTACTGTTCCTGGATACAGTCAGTGTTTGGAATATTAACATCGTGTAGGTATAACTGGTATCCACAAATGAAAAGCAACAGCGAGCCTTCAATCATATTTAAAAAAGCCTATCAAAAAGAATCATTTGATAACCATTTAGTCTCCAAACCCCTCGAATGTACTTTTGAGAAAACTATAAATATCCCAATGAAGTATCCCCATGTGTTTTGAATATTTGAACATAATGTTTATACATTGTTGGTTTGAATCAGTGTTCCCAAGAAAGAAAGAAAAAGGCCCTTTTTTTAAATAGAATTTTCCGTACTCCCACATTGTTAAGACCCCAAACTACTTTCTGACCACATAAACAGCTTCTGGCCTTCTGTGGCTCACATTCTATTGGTTACCACTCAGCCCACAGCGGTACAACCATGTTATAGCACATATGCACATGATAAGTGAGCAGGCTAGAGGACTACTAGGAAACCACTGGTGTGATGTTGATGATTTGATGTGGTTAGGACCGCAATATAAAGGCCACCACAGAGCGCCCCCAGTGCTTTACCTCCATTGTGTTCCTGCTTTATAAAAACAATTGGCCTAACACAGGAGGGACAAATATGTAATGAATAAGAACATGAATCTGATTAGTCTAGTTCTTCTCCAAAAATTAAATAAGTCGTTTTTTTCCTCAACCTTCTCCGCATTGACATGCATTCTATGTATACATACATTCTACAGCGTCCTCCACACAATGGCTTTATGTATGCCAAATGTGCTGGCTAATGTAGCCTTAATTTGGCTTGAAAAATACATAAGGTGAGAAGGATACAACAATAAAATCATTCGAGATTTGTTAGAGCAAAAATCAAAGCCAACAAACAAAACAGCTGAAACGGATTTCAATGTGGCACGCAGACAAATGTGTGAATTGGTCTGAATATTACTTTCCCCCCAGCTTTAGGTTTTGCTGGTGCATCCACAAGCATTTTTGTTTTTATTTTTTGATATTTGATATACTTTATTAATCCCAGTGGGGAAATTGTTCCTCTGCATTTGACCCATCCTGTGTTAGGAGCAGTGTGCTGCCATTTTGAACGGCGCCCGGGGAGCAGTGTAGGGAACGGTGCCTTGCTCAGGGACACCTCGGTAGGTTTGCTTGTCAGTGGCTGAATGCAGTTGAGTTGTATCGGATCACTATCCTCCCAGAACCGCCTGAGGTCCGTTCCCAGCTTCAGGGCGTTTGTACTTTACATTCCCCACAGAGGGCTAGAATGTGCTAGCGTTGTGTCAAATCACTGCAACAGCGTCCAAAGCTGCTTGAGCTCCCATTTCCACACTGTGGCATCTGCCTGCATGCCCACACGCAGTGAGCACTGGTTTATCTTGTTATGTGGTGCCATACTTTTATACTTCCAAGAGTTTTCGAGGTTCTATTGGAAATCCACTCTGAGATTTCACAGAACACAACCAATATCTAGGAGGTGTAGCGGTCTGGCTTCAACGATCATGTTTCATACACATAGCTTGTGAATATAATATGGCAGTGTTATTGCTTATAAGTCTCTTGTGAAAAATGTAAGGCCCCTGCGTTTGGTGGGCAGCCCTTCGTACAGTTGGTTAGCGAGGTTGCACCCAGCACTTTTCTTCTCAGTTTTTCCCACATGTTTTTGAAGGGATGTCGAGAGTTCCATCTTGATCCCATTGCTTGATGGTTTGATCTGGAAGCAGTTTGAAGACAAAATGCCCTGCTATCACAACCACATGTTTCTTTTCACAAATATGGGTGTAAGCAGCAGTGACAGATTGTCACTAGGAAGGCAAGTAAGGTAGAACATTTGCCATTGCTTTTCTGAGCATTTATTAAACTGTAACTTACAAAAGTTTCTCAAGGTAATCCTACAACAACAACGCAATCTCTTTCCCAACCCTTCACAAATAGCAGCTCAATCAGTGACTAAACACTTCAAGCCACAATGCTCCAGATACACCTCTAGCGGTCTTCTAGGTAAAAGTCATTTCTTTTTTTTACACAACATTAAGTATGTTTTCTAGGCAAGTTTGTAACCAACTTAACTTACCTAGAGAAAGTATGAAACCTGACTGTTATACGTATTTTGCAGATACCCGACATTGATTTGTGTTGTAAGTACATACAGCAGTTTCCTGAGTAAAAGTCTTGCGTTTTTTTTGTATGTATTGTCTTAAAATATGTAACTTACAAATATGATTGGACTTTAACCAGGAATCCGTTTTATGTGTTATACTTAATATATATTATAAACCATAGGTCAATGTTGAGTCATTGTAAGAGAGATTGGAATGACTTGAACAAACAGTTAAATGATATGTGGTCTTTTCAAAACCATTCTAAATAAGTATATGCAACACATGCATAAAATACACTATGACATTTTTGCCACAGGCTATTAAATATTGTGTTTATGGTGTGATAGTATACGTTCCCAGAGTCTTCATTGCTCCCTTTTTCGATGCTTCCCCCCCTCAGAAGATGGTGGTAATCCCTTCTACCAACACTCTTCTTCCTCTGTCTGTGGCTCTGCCAGTGTTTATATCCCAGGGCTTGGTGGCTAGCTGATATTGTGTTTTGTGCTATCATAGCTTCATTCTTCCAAAAACCAGCCGAAGCCCCATTTCCACACCCTGACATCTGTTGTCCATATCGTACCCTGGAGCTTAATGGCCACTCACTCTGGTCAGTGTTTACCAGCTATTGTGTTAGTGGATCCAAAGTGCCGAGGCTGTGCTGGCGCCTGAGGTTCCCACGTGAGTCAGCTTCCAAACATTCGGCAGCATTACCCTGAGCCAGGCCGCTCTCTCTGTTTCCCTCCTGGTCTCTTATTTCAGTTTAATACAGTTACTACGTTGTTTTGCAGTTAATTTGTAAGGTATTATTTTCCCCAACATGTTCATTGTTTCAGACGTATTATTAGATTCCTTTCTTCCTCGTGGCTACACATGGCTGATGTTGCCTGTTGGTCTTTCTGTGTGTATCCTTTAAAGCGTGATGCTGCCAAAGGTATTATATGTTCGTCCTACTGGTAAAATAAATATGTAACGGAAATAATTGGTACTTGATATTTGTATTTCGTTTAAGATTATGGTTCTAGGCGGGAGTTTAGCATCGTAAAGATCATTTTCACGGTATACAATTGTGTTTGCTAAATATGAGCTTGTTAAAGTCTCTTTCGATAGCACCACTGGGAGAAGGACTTTAGAAAGACTCTACATCTGAGTGACACAAAACTGTGACATGTCTCCATGCATTAATGTTCAAAAAGCTCTTTATTCTTCTCATGCAGCACCTCTGTTCACCCTCTGTCTGAAACCAGAGCCCAGAAAGAGCAAGTGTACATGGTGATGTCATTATCTTACAGAAGTAAAGAAAGGAGTCCCATGGAGGCATTTCAGGAACACACTAGACTCGAGGAAAGCGAATACCCCAACAAAGCATAATATGGTCTCTAATTCCTGTTGTCATTTTCAGTTTATTTATTTGAGTTAAAGTCTTTAATTTGATAATTTTTCCAATTTTCCAATTCCCAGTTTTGTGTTTTAATTTAGCTTTTTAATTGTATCTCGGTGGAAAATTATACTCCATATGTTTGGCAATGCAGAAACTAAGGGTTGCAATTGCAAACCCCGGACCATCTGGTTAGCTTTTCTTCTTGTGGCAACCGATGAAGTATCCTTGAGCAAGGCATTTAACCTCCACGTTCTCCAGTGGCGCTGCTCATCAGCTAACAACAGAGTGATAGTTCCCGGAGCAAGGTGCAATCAAGAGGTTTCTTTTTCCGACAAATCCTTCATTCCCCAAACTAGTCAACACTTGTCAAGGTGAGTTGTTTGATACCCTCCTTGGTATAATAATAGCACAATGCCTCCATACTGTCAGGTCTTGAGTTTGCATTTCCACACTCGTGTCTGCTCAGCCAAGCAGTGCAGGAGAACAGGGCAATGGACAGATGAAACATAATTACCTCCTGATGCTTGTTAGGGATTAGGTGTGTGTGTGTCTGCACTGAAGTGTGTGTGTGTGTGTGTGTGTGTGTGTGTGTGTGTGTGTGTGTGTGTGTGTGTGTGTGTGTGTGTGTGTGTGTGTGTGTGTGTGTGTGTGTGTGTGTGTGCGACATCCTCCGTCCATCAGTCACCATATTTGTTTTGTCACACCACACCTGTTCCCGTTACGCGCTATAATCTGCCCAGATAAATCACATTACGCTTTTCGGCGGCGCGGCTGAGCGTTACACTGCCACAGCCTCGCCGCTGAAGCCAAGCCGGCGTAATAACTTTCAATTAAAGCCCTCAGATGATGCCTTTGGTCGGTGCTTGTTTGATTCTGTTATTTCTTTCCCACCCTCTCTTTATCTCACTTTTTTAGTTTGTTCAAAAGCCGAGTGTGATTTTTCTTCATTAAAACTGAAATCACCTGTTAGGGGCAATTTGGTGGGGTGTGTGTGAATGTGTGTATGGTGTGTTGAGGTTTCTTTATAGTGTGTGTGTATGTCTGGGAACCATTTTCAGACTTTAAACCATTTGAATGGGAAGAGTTTATGATAGCATGGATACATTTTCTGGCCTTAGTTTGATTGTGTGTGTGTTTACGCCAGAGTTCCCGTTAGAATATTTTTTCGTCGGTCAACATGTCCGTTAAAGTTTAAATCTTCCGGACAAAATGAGAAAAGAGCCGGTCAAAGGTCTTCTTTGTTATTTATTGTGCTTTAAAACAAATTGAGATGATTCGATATTAAACAAACTAATTATAGTAGATTAACTACATTATTCAAAAGTGAACAGTAACTTACAATAACACGGGAATAATAAACGGAGCGCTCTCCCTCTCCTGACAGCCCGTCAGTATCATGCAGCTCGCGGATCAGTGATGAGTGACCCGACTGTAAAACTAAACATATCTATAACTAGTTACGGTAGTTTGAGAGGTAATTAAAATAGCTACGTGTGATATTCTAACCTGAAGTGTGTGTTTTGTTCCGCTCACCGCTGCATGTGATCATGCAGAGCTGCGTGTCGACTCGTCAGCAGCAGCTGATCTCTCTCTCCCGTCAGATTAGACTTCACTCGCATTTATGTCCATATCGATCAGATCCAGCTAGTTCTAGCTAATGATATGACTACCTGCTTATTAAAAGACACCTAAACAATAAGTGTCGCTATGCAACCGGGTGAGGCCGCAAAGTATAGTGCAGCATTATGCATTTGTTTACATGCCCACCGGAACCCCGAGGCATTACCAACAGATCAACGCACAATCAACCCATACAGGACATCTCTTTCTCCACATTAAGTGTTAGACATTAGAATTGACTATTCTTGCCTGTCACATACTCTTTTGTCTGTCACATAAATGGCGCAAGTTGCGCAACTGATGTGGTATTGCGCTAAACGGATTTTTTTTTGAACGGACACTTTGACCGGAGAGATTTAGATTTGCCGGTCTTCAGCATATTTTACCGATCGTAGTCCGGTAATTACCGGCTAACGGGAACTCTGGTTTACGCATGTGTGCACATAACACTATGTGTCTATTTCCTTGATATTATTGCTCTTTTGTCTCTTTTGTGTATTTGAGAAGAAGAAAATGGAAGAATCCAAATGAAAAGCTCAAAATGTAAAAAAAAAATAAAAATCGATATAAGCTAAATATAGGTAATGAAAATGGAAAATGGAAAGCTTTGCATATTAGCCATTAGCATTAAACTGAGTGAATAACATGACATTTCACATTCTTCAAATATTAAAAAAGATATTGCATTGAAATAACAGATCAAGTGAGTGGACATGATTGATTGAATCCAGTAATCATATGTAGTGGAATTGTTCTACTTTCTAATTTGTTCATGGTACATTTCTGATAATAATACCTATTTACTACTGATTTCATTTGCTAAATAAAATACATGAAATTCAATAAATGTAACATTTCAAAGCTTTGCATACTCAGTGAATGACATAGCATTTGTTTTTATCAATAATGTCCTCCATCTCCCTCTTGTTGTTCCAGTTGTTCCCTGAGACGGGGCCTCGCCAAGGGGGCACCCGGCTGACCATCCTGGGGGAGAACCTGGGTCTGCAGTTCAGAGACATCCAGATGGGCATCAGACTGGGCAAGGTGCCCTGCGTCCCCATCGAGGAGGAGTATGTGAGCGCAGAGAGGTACGTTCAGGGACAGAGGACACACTCGCAAGCACAGAAACACATTCACACACTGTGACAATGGCACCTCAACCAGAGCACGTTTTTATGTGGGAGCATTCAGCAGCTGGATGGATGGTGGTAATAGGCTTTTCTTTGTGTGTGAATTCCATCTGTTGTTCCCCTCCATTACTCCCTACATATGCTCTTTTCTTTATTTTTCTCATCCTGACATTTACTCCTCTGCAGGGTTCTACACAGCTGACGAATTGAGTTCACACAGATCAAACAATCTCTCTGTAGTGCACTTAGTTGGGAAATGACGCATGTTGAGATAGAGAGCATCTCTATTCAAATATTACACACACATCAGTTATTTTGCACATTCTTCCCGACATCCATGCAACACTTTAGCATGTGTAAGATGTATTATTTAATATCGTCCCTTCCTTCTTTGCTAGTTTCTTCCTGCTTCTTTTACTCCGCCTGTCACTCCTCCTGAAACACAGATTACATCTAGTTTAGTACCATGTTACAATGCATACAATATGAAGCCTAAAGCACATGGAGGTGAAATCCATACTAGATTTGAAGAAAAAAAAAAATTCAAACCTCTTGATTAACAGAAGCTGTAAAATATAGTTATGGACACTCAGCTTCTCCATAAAGGGTTTCCATCTCTGGAGCACATAACTCCCTGAAATAAAATGAATTCCAGAAATAAAAATATTTTACAACACAGATTAAGTGCTGGTTTAAAGCAAACCCGAGTTCTATAACCATTAATAGCTCATTGGACTATAAATTGCCAAGGTGCATTGTGGTATATGTACTGTGTGTAATTTCATATCTGTAGAGTTGTGTGGTTGTATAATTCTAAAAGCTGTATATTTGAACTAAACTACATGAGAAGGACCAAGAGTTCAGAATTAGCCATATCTATAAGGTCTCTGTTCAGCCCATCATTTTCAGGTTATGTTTAATTGCATTGTCCCTATCTAATAAAAAATGTACCACATACTGTGACTGCAAGCTATAATGCCTTAGGAAGCGACCAATTTACAATCAGCATTTAGTACGATTTTAGAGATGTTGTAATGACTTGTTACCTCTCCAACCACAGAATAGTGTGTCTGCTGAACGACGCCACCAGCTACAGGGTACAGGAAGCCCCGGTGGAGGTGTGTGTGAGGGACTGCGTCAACGACTACAGAGCGCTGTCGCCCAGGCCCTTTACCTTTGTGGTAAGCACCATACAAAGAGTCTGTACGTTCTTTTAGACCGTGATGACTAAAGAAATATCATTATTTATTAAGAAAATGTCTGTAACTGAGGTATCTCATCATGGATTATGCTGTCATCTGAAAATATGAATACTCCAAAAGGTGCATTGAAATTACAGATGTTTGTGAATATAATATGAATATTCTTGATGTTTCTTGTAACATTTCTGGGAATAACCGAGACTCAAGCATTTTGATTCTATTTACTAAGTGAAAATAAATGTTACTCCCTCTCCTCCAGACTCCATTCTTCACCCGTATCCAGCCTTCTCAAGGGCCCATCTCTGGGGGCACCCGGGTCACCATCGAGGGAAGTTCACTCAACGCAGGCAGCTACGTCTCAGTGGGCATCGGACAGCAGCCCTGCTACTTCAAAAAGTAAGGACCATGTGTGGGGAGGCTGTAGCTCAGGAGTAGATGGAAGTCCTCCAACTGGAGGGTGCTGCGATCTTCAGCCCCTGCAGTCAACATGTTATCGTGTCCTTGTGCAAGATGCTTAAAGGGGCCCTATTTCCTTCCCTTTCCTGTTGTGCGTTATATAGGTTTTTTGTAAATGTTCAGCAAAGTCTAAAATGACATAGATATGACATGTCATCATTGTGTAAGGTTAGCATGTTGTGTGTTTGTTTGATCATGAATGTGTGTTGCATGCTTGTTGCTCTCACACAGGCTTTCCTTAATCTAGTGCATGAAAAAATCCAGATTACCAACACACTTGCTTGTCAAATGCCTGGATTAGCCTCTCACAGCTAATCTCTGTTGAAGCCGCCGTATGCGAGCTTTGATGTGACTGCATCATTCCTGTGCTCGCAGTAATCCAGCAGATTCCACTTCAACACAGCAACTCTGTCCTTATCTGTCACACCCTAACTGTGTGACTGTGTTTGTGGCATCTTGTGAAGGTTGCCGGGACATGTGTGTCTTTGTGAATGGGGTTGCTATGGTGACTGGACGAGGGAGATTTTTCCTTTTTCACTCTCTGTCACACTCTCTCCCTCTCCGTGTGACTGTCATGGCGTATTGAGGCACAATGGAATGTGCAACACTACATTAAAGTGTACGCACACACATACACACGCACCCACATACACCAACACACATGCACACAAACACAAACACACACACACACACTGCTCATGTGAAGTCACGGCCCAGAAAAGAAGAAACCACTCAACTGTGCTAAATACATATTAGATAGAGAAGCTACTGGGACTGCAATTTGTATTTTGCCTATGGGACATACACGCATGGACACACATACACACACACACACACACACACACACACACACCACACACACACACACACAACACACACACACACACACACACACACACACACACACACACACACACACACACACACACCACACACACACACACACACACACACACACACGCACACACACACACACACACACACACACACACACACATGCAGAGACACATATGCTCCCCCAGTGTTTATCGACTGGTGCTGTTGAGCCTTGACAGTGCACCACTCATAGCAGGCATAAACTTCATTAAACATGACTTCACATGACTTGTTTCTCATTGTTGTATGTGGCTCTCCCTACATTGAAAACTCACAGTCATTCCTTTCTAAAAAAGAATGCGGTACATGCCATAGCATTGTACCATTTGCCTCTTTTTCCCCTTTCTACACTGTCACTTACATAAAGGCAGTGGTTGCTCCAAAAAACTTTGAAATAAATAAATACAATAAATAAATAAATACATTCATAAATTAATAAACACATACTGTAGAGCAGGGGTGCCCAATACGTCGATCGACCGGTCGATTGCGAAGGTAGTGTGGGTAGATCGCATGGCATTGAAAAAAGTTAGCCTATCATCCATCCTTACTATTGCATTTGCCACTTGATTGATGTACAGGTAAGCTAGTCTGAGATCTCATCTTTTCTAACACGCAGTTCACCACGCATGCACGGTCAACCGGGACAGCTGCAAATCACCGGCGAGCTGATTAGCTAGTTAGCTTTCCAATTTAATGTACTGAGTTGTATTGTGCCATACGGGTTCATGCAGTTATTCAAGGTACACCAACATAAGGTATACTCAGTGTGTATATATATACATAAATATATGATTAGCATTGTTAACGTAGGTAGATCAGGTTGACTTGGTCATTTTAAAAGTAGCTCCCAAGCTGAAAAGGTGTGGGCACCCCTGCTGTAGAGGGTGGCTTACACCAGCCATCAAATATACTACAAAAGAGTAAATGATTTGATTTTCAAAATATAAATAAAAAATAGGTTTTGTCAATAAAAATACATCTAGCAAAGCCTTGCATACATACCTAGTTTGCATAATATGCAGACATATATCATTTAAACAAGAACAAATGCCTCTTAATGCCATGTGCTAGTGCAGCCACAGACAGTAACATGCACACAACATGTATATTGTAGTAAAGTACACATGTTTGGATATCACAATAAAAAGGCTGGAAACTTAACAAATTAATTCAAAGAGCTTTACTGCAGTAAAAACCAAACGTAAATACTGTATGAGACAGCTGTAATCCCTGTGACCCAGCAGGCCACAAAGGATTTGACTTGCTGAAGTGCATTGCTCACAAATGGGATTATCTAATAAAATTAGCAGGTTACAATATGACTTTGAAAGGGAGAGACTAATTGACTTTCCAGACTGGACAATGGTAATTACAAGCACAATGAGCAAGTCATTAAATATGTCATGGCTACAGATCGGACCCCAGTATTTAGGGACAGTCGCTGGAACTAGAAACTAATCATTGCCTCTGTATTATAACAATTCAGTTTTAAAGGTGATTATCAGATTATTCTGGACCGCTTCTTTGCAGGATGTTGCAGAGGGGATCCCACCATTCTCTGCAATATTGTTTGTGTTTGTATCCTGCATCGCTCTATTTATTAGACATTTCCTGTGGGACAGACTCCAATATCTTTCAAATATCACAACAGTTTGTGATGATATTGTGGGAATCTGTCTTCACAGTGGGCTCTGAGGAAATGTAGAATCTCTCTGAGTTGAAACTGTTTTCTGTCCAATGCATTTTTGATTTTGGATCATCCAACTTTTCTTTTGTCTGTCCTTCCAGGAGGAATGCCAATGAGATAGTGTGCATTACCCCAGCTGGATCAGCCGTGAGCAGTGCGTTAGTCACTGTGGACATCGATGACGCTGAGCTCCAAAACCCTGAGGTGAAGTTTAACTACACTGAAGACCCCACCGTCCTGAGGATTGAACCGGACTGGAGCATTGCCAGGTAATGTGCTATGTTCGTTGTCTCATTTGTGGTCCAATCATTGCTTGGTGTCTTTTTTTGTCCATTGACCATTTGAACAAATAACACATGTTGGTCAGGATAGGATATTAGAACTGTTATAACAGCCAAATAAAGGATAGTATGCAGCGAGCCAGTCCATATAGCAAAAGGAACTCTGTCAGGGTTCCTATTATCCCACTTATTACATGGCTATTACTAAATAAATCAACAATTTGACACAGCAGAACCATTTCAACATGATTTTATTGATTACAACAATGATCATATTGCTTTCCCAGAGGAAAAGTAGTCCGTTCTTCTGCTTAGTCACATTTTGAACTGCAGCAACGGTTCTTCCATTTTATAGAGATACACAAAATGACGGCAGCACTGGTAGAGGTTTTCTATTACTGTCAAAGTATTCACATTTTCTTTTCCATTAGCCAGTCTTTAAACATTGCCAGAGCCCATACCATGTTCGAGTTAGTGTTTAAGGTACCACTTTACAATAAGACTACCCTTATAAAGGGTTTACGAATAGTTTGTAATTAATTTATTAATTAGGTTGTGAACACTTTATAAATCATTAATAAGCTTTTATAAGACATGAGATAAACAGGGCAACTGTGACCGGTTGCTTGCCAAATAGTGAGCCCACATGTATCTGTACTGCTAAGCCTTATATTGGCTACTTAGCTTACTTTGTCTTCTTCATCAGCCAGCATCCTTCGTATCTGTTGCTCACCGAGTTGATTCTCGCTAAGTAGCCATTATAAGGCTTAGTCATCTTGCCAAATAGTGAGCCTGTGTTGATGTTTGAAAACTATGTTAGAACTGGTTTATAAATGGTTCTTAATGATTAATAAAGTGTTTACAACCTAATTAATAACCTAATTATAAACCCTTTATGAACCCTTTATAAGGGTAGTCTTATTGTAAAGTGGTACCGTGTTTACTTCCTGTCTGTCTTCTTCTTCGGATTTCTCTGATGTCTTTTATCCAGCTCTGTTTTCTTGTTCTAGTTCTCTTGTTCTTTCATTTACTTGGTGCAGTCACCCATCATGAATCGAAGGTGTCCTGTTCTCCCCAAATATGAAAAAAATAATACTGAAAAACTATTCCATGGTGCTTTTATGATGGAGGAACACAGAGTGATTTCTTTCCACGGCTGATGTTAGATTGAGCAAACTTCACTATGCGGATTGGTATATAATAATAACAGAACATCAATCCAAGCAGCTCTCAAGAGTTCCTCAAAGAGCTCAATAACTGCAGCAAAACAATCAAAATGCTTGTGTCCAAGTGGAAAGAGGTAGAACGTGTTTTTTGCGCAAAACTGTAGGGCGAAGTCTTCCTTTAAATGTTAAACTAGAGTTTGGTTTGGATTGACAGCTCCTCTGGGGACTTTTCATCCAACTCAAGCAAGATATGTTTTAGTTGGAAAATGATCAGTGGTGTAGTCTGATTGTCTGATTTGAGAAATGGCCGTGTCAGCCTGTCAGATTATACAGCCCATTGATTGTTTGAATTAGATTGTTGATTGAAGAGGCAGTTAATACTGATCAGCTGATGGCACATGAAACGGTTCTCTTAATGCACCCCTCACTCAAACTCAGATTTGCATATCCTGTAATGCAGTACTGCCAGTGGGAGGGCAGACACAGGAACACATTGGTCTTTATGATGGAGACTTCGGTACCAAACCTTTTCCTCCGGGCTTTTCTCTGGCTTCATATATCCTGCGTTATTTTTCAAAACGGGAGGTCGAGTGATATTAATATTTCTTGGACTAATCAAGGATTTTTTTCTTTCTTTTAAGTCCAGAGACCTCACCCTAGAGTCTTCTAGCACTTGTAGTTCTTAGATTTCCAAAAATGAGAGCAGTGTCCCTCCCCAGGACATCTGTGAAGGATAGCTTTCCACCTCTCTAGGCTTCCATCGCATAAGATCTGAAATGAGTTCATGTCTAGCCCACCATTGAATTTAATATCTGGTGTGACCAAGCGGCAAACTCTGGGGAACAGCCGGGACGCCAATACGGAAGTGCCACACACTGCAGTTCATACATGGGCCGCTAGGAAAGGAGCAATTTCCATAGACCCCCATGTTAAAATGCCCAACTTTACAGCAGAAAAAAACATGTTTCTACCCATGGATGCAATAAATATTATTATCGATATAGTTAGATTCCACCTTCATGATTATGAATCTGTGAGTGAATTGTTTTCTAACACGACCCTTTTATTTATATTAGGTCTTAAAGTTTGTGCATAAATTAGGGCGTGGTCACTTTGATGGACACGTACATGCCTCACTGTCAGCTAACAGCAACTTGTCCACTCTGCTAGGCTACAACCATAGAGGCTACAACGTTAGTTAGTCATAGTACTGTACTTGACCCTTTAGCTTTAGCCGTGTTCGTGGTGATTGTGCCTTTTAGGGAATATTGTTACAAATACCAGACAATTCAAATGTCGTGCTGTGCGCTTGAATGTACTAACAGAACTTCCAAGAAGTCTAAAATGATAATATTATACATGTTAACCCCGTTCGCAGGTGTTTGTGTGCTTGGTAGCTTTGCGTGTTACTTATTAGCCAGATAAGGACGTAACCCTTTATGCATACATATACATTTTAGTTTATGATTCAGCCTTGGGTAAGACTTTTATAGTCTATGGCTATGACGCCCATAATGCTAAACGGGAGCAAATGTTAATAGGGGACCCAATTATCCCAGTGGTGGCCGCCGGAGCTAACGGAGCCGCAGGGGGCTAGCTCCAGCCGGCGTCCCGGAGCTAGCCCACTAGTCCGTCTTTTCTCAACGTGTGAATGACAAGCATTAAGAATAACAAAATATAGCTAATTCTCTTGCAGATTGTCTCATTTGATTATGAATGTAACGTTTATATAGGGGAACTACACTGTTAGCAGTAATTTGTTATGCATGTATTTCATGTTAGCTTAGCTTCTTAGCCTGAGCTAGCTCTGTTTACTTCCAGTTCGGAGGCAGCAGGTCTCGGCTCGGTTCCGCCTCTTTGCCCTTATTTGGAGCAGGCGGGATTAGACTCTGACGTCACCGTCGAGCCGTTAGTGGCCGACTCCGCCTACTAAGGGCTTCTCGGCAACTCTGCAGAATCCTATGGGTGACGTCACGGACACTACGTCCATTTATATATACAGTCTATGGCTGTAACGTTGGGTGATTCTTCCATGATCAACTTTGTACCCTGTGAAGGAGGTTGTTTCAGCACCCATTGAGACTATTTATTTGTTGGTTCTCTTTTAATTGAAGTCCTGTTGGGATTGGGTTCACATCTCTAAGTGTATATCTAAGAGCAACATGTTGGCGGGTGACAAAGGTAAAGTCTTTCTGCTTAATTTTCATGTCTATTACAAAATACCTCCTGTGATTCGACGTTGCCAGATCACTGAGTTTACAGTGTTGGGTATATGTTACCCACCTGTTCCAATAACCCTATTTGATCTACCATATGTCAAAACACCTGCTGTATGCTTTCCGTTCTATATTTTCTATGCTTTTCTACACTTAATTTAATTAACTATCTCTCTCAATGTATTCAAGGTGCTGATACCGGCAGCACATGTTTGCCCTTTTCCCCTCCTGCCCCTCCTTTCTTCCCTTTTTCTGTGTTGCTTTCCTCCCTGTGGTGACTCATCAGTAGATGGTGGCAGATAGATGCAGAGCTTGTTAGAGAAGAGTGTTGATGAATCCTGCCCTGCTCCCTTTGCCCAGTAGGACTGACCGAGAAGCAGCTGAGGCCCAATCACTGCAACACACCCCCCTGTGTGTGTGTGTGTGTGTGTGTGTGTGTGTGTGTGTGTGTGTGTGTGTGTGTGTGTGTGTGTGTGTGTGTGTGTGTGTGTGTGTGTGTGTGTGTGTGTGTGTGTGTGTGTGTGTGTGTGTGTGTGTGTGTGTGTGTGTGTGTGTGTGTGTGTGTGTGTGTGTGTGTGTGTGTGTGTGTGTGTGTGTGTGTGTGTGTGTGTGTGTCACTCAAAACTGAGGTTCTCCTTCAGGAAGCTCACTCAGGGGTGATGATCCCAAATAAAAAACGACACATGCGCGCACACGCATATCCACACACCCCACTGATTCCCAGAGTCCCTGATGTTTGGCCCTAGATCCCTCCTCCATCTGGCTGAGAAGACCAAACAGCACACACCTCACCAACGGCGACAAAGCTGTGTGTGTTGCTTCCAGCTAGTGGAGGCTTTAATTTAGCCGGTGCGTGTCAGCCAGTGCCCTCCCCCGTCACAGAGGCACGTGCTGGCTCAGGTAGAAAGTAAAACGAGGCAGTGCGATGTGAGATCATATCGGTTCATATCGGCCTCATTGTCTGCCTTTGTGCTAATACATGCACGCCTGAAGAGCATTACCATTCTGCTTGGTTGATGATAGCAAGAGAGGATGAAAGACAGTGAGAAGAGAAGACACCGAGGGGAGGGAGATAGAGTGCATTATCAGTGTGCTTGGCTGATGATATTATATTTAGGCAGAAGACAGAGCACTTCAAAAATAAATCAATGACTGCTCATCTGGGACACCGGGGAAAGATATTTGGGCAGAGGTTAGAGAAGCAATTTTGGACATAATATTCAAATCTCCTCCCAAACCAGATAGATAAGTGGAGCTTAGAATGGGGTTTGCCACTCCTTCTGCCAAGGTGCCTTTAAGCTAGGCAATGCTTACTACTCCAATGCTGCTGCTTAATGGTAGCCATTAGAAAATGATTTCACTAATACTGGCCAGGTCTAACTACCGGTGTTCAGACAGATTTGACAAAATACTGAAAGAATCCATGTTTCCTCATAACCTACAGGCTTGGGGAAGCTTGACAACTAATATTAATATAGGTCATTACAACCTATTTTTTTTTTTTTTTTGGAGGTCAGTCTATAAACTAATGTAGCTGGAAAGCTAACGACTGACATGCTAGAAAGCCAGGAAGATGCTACGCTAGTCAGTCACAGTAGTTTTCACT